ACCCCCCACCCCCACCCTCTCTGCTTTCCTGTCCTTTTACAGTCCGGTGCCACCTATAAGGCACTTGCAAGGCAACACCAGAGCACCCAGGCAGAGCCGGGAACAAAGCAGGGTTGAGCGAGTGGGCTGTGATCGGGGCAGGGCAAGGCTCAGGCGGGGGCACAGATGGGGAGCACTCAGGGTCTGTGCCACTGCCTCCTCAGAGTGACTAGGGTGTGCTGGTTTGTGTCCTATAGGTGAAAGCTGGCCTGGGGGTCAATGTCATTGGCCTGGTGATAGTGACGGTGGCTATCAACACATGGGGAATTAGCCTCTTCGACCTGGACACTTTTCCAGCCTGGGCTATGGCCAGTAACATCACTGATCGGACCTAACACAAGTGGGCACACGGCCCAACCAGAGGCACTGCCAGCACTTAGCAGAATCTGACCAACAAACAGGCCACGCAGAACACCAGGAGCACAGCACCCCCACCAGAAGAGTCCGCCATCTTCCACCTCAAGTGCGGTTCAGGACTCGCACAACCAAAGCCCGAGAAAACCTACCCCTTTCTCACTTGTTTGTATCTAGTCTCTGCAATCGATCCTGCGGAAGACAGGAAGAGGCGAAAGCCTGCCCCAGCTGCCCCTCAGAGGCTAAGCCCCACACTGCCGAGCCTCACTAAGTTTGATGTTGTTCTTAATCCCTTTTTAGGAGTTGAAGGAGAAATCCAAATCTCCTGCCTATGCACAGCAAAACCAGCGGCATCTCTTTCGTAGGAAAATCTCACCTAGAACTTGAGACCTTACATCAGCTCCTTTCTCTTAAGAGTTTCTGTCCTAAGTTCTCTACAAAAAGGCAATTCTTAGTAAGCCCTCTTTGTGGCAGTCACAACTCTTATCGCTGCTCTGATTCCATTTTAAGCATCTCTCTTCAACGGCTTCTCTTTACTTTGGCACCAAATTCCTATAAAGTAACTGTTCCCCTTTCCATAAAGGCTGGTGCTGTTCTCTCTGTCAACGGAAAAGGAAGCAGAGAAAGAAGACACACTGTGATTAGCATCTCTCTTCACTCATCACGAGCCATCAGTACCACTGTGCTGGTTAAGTGTTGGGAAGGAGGAAAATTTTCATACTTGTCTTATTAAGGAGGCCAAAACTATAATTACGTCTACAGCACTATTAATGATATTTGACTGGCTTTCTTCTGGATGTAATTAGTTCATTTCTGAGAAGACAGGTCCAGAAAGGCCCAGACCCATTAGTCACTTTCTACAAGTAGATGAGCCCTTTGAGGGGAGTGATATCCTATGTCTCTGAAAATCCCAGCTACTTATACTACCTAGTAAACTGAAACTGCTTAATAAATGTTTCCCTTGAGAAAATCACTTTGAAATCAAAGCCTCCTTCTTCCTCCTGAAAACCAAGCCATTTTCTCCAGGACAGATGTCCTTGCTATCTGATTGGATATAGCTCCCAAACGCTCCATTTCCTGGAATTATGTATTTCTAATTTCCACCACCAGTTACTTGCTAAATATATCTTATGGGAAAGGCTCCCCCACAGTTATTGTTTTAATTGATTTTAAGTTCCTATTATCAGCATGTGCCATTTTTCCGCAACAATAATTTATCAATGAAGGCACTACCTTGGTTTATCAAGTATCTGTGAATTGTCAAATTGCTTTCGTGCCATTCAACACTGTCACACTCTGACCACCGCATATTATTGACCAGGTTTACCAGGAATATTACCACTTCTGCCCTGTCAATGAGGTTAGGCCAAATTATTTGGCTACTTAAAAAAGTGACTGACCTAATGAGCCCAAATAAAATACCAGTATAATAACTACAGCTGGTTGGATGGAGCCAGCATCTCTACAGTTATTTTGCGTTAAATGTTCCAAAGAGTCGGTGTTACTCCTACTGTCAGGAGTATCATCAAATGGCTGACCCATTACAGAACTGAGAAAGTAAGACAAAGGTGCAGATAATCGAGAAGACTCTGGGATTATAAATAACTACAAAGAGAAAGAAAAGTTGACTTAGATTTATTGACCACTGTTCAACTTTTCAAGAACCTGACTCACTCCTACAGGGAAAAGCTGTGAAACTCCCCACTGCAATTTCTGCCAGATGCTCCGAGGAGCAGAGGCTCTCAACTAGCCAGTTTAGACAGAGCGTTTATTTCAGTCTGGTCTACTGACTATTCTACAGAACAGCACTGTTCTCTCCCCAAACCAGAGGTTCAGGCCAAACAAGATAGCTCATTACAGTGACAGGAAATGTTGAATATGACTAACAATTCCTTGTCATCTAAAACCACTCCACGTTGGAAATTAACTAACAGATCTCCTTAGTCTTGTGTCTCTTGCAATTGTATTTAATTTCATTATCTTCTATCACAATATATCGATGGAAAGCTGTAAATGATCATCTTCTACCAGCTTACTTAACACATGGCGAAACCGAGAAACAAGACACTGAGTATGGTTGCATCTTATTCTCAAGCCAATTACATATCAAATCTGTTTAGTCACAGTTGCCTTTGAAATTCCTTTAAGTCGCCCATGAATACAATCTTTTACATTACAACTACATGGCACAAACACTCATGTGCCCACTTTTTTAAAAAATTGATTTGAGAAAGAAAACATTGATCTGTTGCCTCCTGCACATGCCCCAAATGGGGATCAAACCCGCCACCTTTTGGTGCACAGCACGACACGCCAACCAACTGAGCCAGCCCAGCCAGGGCTCATGTGCCATCTTTTGATAAATAAAAAACAGCTAGTTTTCCCTCCAATATCAGACTAGATCCCTGTTTCTTCAGCTGCATGCCAGATAAAGTAGTTGGCTTCATATTTGGGGCCCATGTTTGAAAAAGTGTATTTAAACACTAGACTCCCAGTTCGGCAAGATGTCCAAACCACTAATACACAAAAGGGATGAAGACCACCCACGTTCACAGGTAGCTCATTCTGGGGCTGCCCTCACCAAATGAATGCTGAGCACAAGCGCCTGCACTATTTACATGGCACCTCTCTCTTGTCCCAATACTGTGCAACTGTACATGTCAGAATGACACCCACACGGCACCTTTCCTCAGGCCTCACCAGAGGCAATGAGTCAAGCGGGCCCAGGACTTGGGGTTGGCAGTGCCCCACCCCAATGCACTTTCCACAAAACCTGTTTGTTCTTTTGTCTCCATGTGCCTTGAAAAACATGCCATCCAGAGGTCTTCAATATATGACTAAATATGTTGCACCCAGATTTAGGAGAGGTATACACTGAGCATTTGAACATCTAAATGTCACTAACTCCCCTATTAAGACCAGGCAACGTCTCAAAATATTTTCCCTTCCCCGCCCTGTTCCTTTCCACAAGTCCCTAATAGTTAGTAGGGAAAAAAGAACTCATTCATCTGCGTAAGGAATGGAAATGCTATGTGCAAAGTCCAAGATGGGAAGTTTAAGAAAAGCCTCATTTGCTCCAGTACAGTATATAGTGTTCCTTCGGGAGGAGTAACAGAAACAGCATTAAAATGTGGGAGACCTCAGCAGAAAAACAAACACGTAGTGTCTATGGAGTGAGCTGCTTAGTAGAAATGAAAACATCATGCATGTGTACATATGCTCTATGAACCCGTACACACAGACAACCAGAAAAACCACACTTCATAGTAACATAAATGAGTTAGAAAAAAGAAACCAAATTCTTTCTTTAAACCAGAAGCAGGTAACTGCTTAATTGCATAAAATACCAAATCAGAAGAAAAGTCTATTAAGACATCAAATAACTAAAATACATAAAATAACATAAACTATAACCTCTTTTGATGATTTCAAATAAAGTAGTTTTGGTTTTTCTCTCCCTTTGCTTGTTTGGGAGGTTTACAGTTTAAGGATAAGCTTTTCAAGTTCGATCTATTTATTAGGTTCCCAACATCAATCCTGAAGTATTATTTTTCACATGTGAGTAACCTTCAGTAGTATTATGAGTAACCTTCCTTTCATGGTCCAGGGTGGCAATAAATTTTCTTAAATCACATCAACAGAAGTTTTCGAACATTTTTAAAGGGAAAAAAGGGCATGTGTTGCACTGATTCTTCCCATCCCTCCACTGGGGAACGTAACTTCCTGTGCCATGATCACAACCACTGCCACCCCATCCACAAATGCACCCTCAAGTCTGTGCTGGTCTGGACTCCTATGTCTCAGGGAAGATGATCTTGCCTGAGAACTCTGAGCCCCTTTCCACTGTGGCAAGAAATTAAAACAAGGAGAGGGTATGTGACCAGTGCCTGCTAAGTTGGCCTGTGTTCACTGTGCAGCAGCTGGATGGCTTTCAGCAGTAGAAATGATTCCATCAGGGGGTTAGCCCTAATTCCAGATGAGTTTTGTAACAAGGTATAGTATAGAGCAGGGGTCCTCGAACTATGGCCCGCGGGCCACATGCAAATACAAATATTGTATTTGTTTCCGTTTTGTTTTTTTACTTCAAAATAAGATATGTGCAGTATGCATAGGAATTTGTTCATAGGTTTTTTAAAACGATAGTCCAGCCCTCCAACGGTCTGAGGGACAGTGAACTGGCACCCTGTTTAAAAAGTTTGAGGACCCCTGGTATAGAGCAGTGATGGCGAACCTTTTGAGCTCGGCATGTCAGCATTTTGAAAAACCCTAACTTAACTCTGGTACCGTGTCACATATAGAAATGTTTTGATATTTGAAACCATAGTAAAACAAAGATTTATATTTTTGATATTTATTTTATATGTTTAAATGCCATTTAACAAAGATAAATCAACCCAAAAAATGAGTTCGCGTGTCACCTCTGACACGCATGTCATAGGTTCGCCATCACTGGTATAGAGAGACCTTCTCCTAACATCTAAGTGACCTCCCTCCCCAAAGAAACCACTCTGGGAGACACACACAAATAACAATGCTACCATGACTGATAACAAGGGACTCCTAAGCTTGTAGCACTATGAATACCCTCAGGGATGGTAAACCTTTATTCTTAAGGCTTTAATTCATCCTGCCAACAATTCAGTCATTTAAGATAAAATCTTGGAAGCCAGGTGGTATGATCAAGGTGGATACTGTAGATTTTCATCAACAACCAAGAGCGTGACCATAGAATAATGACAAATTTTGCATGGTTCATAAACTTGTTCCCAAAGTGACTGCGAAGAAACAAAAGTATTCTGAGCAAAAGCAGGATGTTTGGACTAAGGTCTGCTATTTATTGGGCAAATTTGCAAAGCACTGTGCATCACATACATTATTGCAATTGTTTCTCATGGAAGCCCTATGAGGTAGGTATTATGTCCAGATCTTACAGAGAATACAACAGTTTCAGACAAATAAGCTGTTTGCCCATGATCACACTGCAAGGGAGAAGCCAAACCATATGATCCTAATCTGTCTCACACACCAGGATGAACTGATGGATAAAACTTATCTCCATGTATGAGAGATGCATGTTCTCAAAGAGAAGCAGAATCACTTCATTTTATAATCACATGTAGTATCAGTGTCATCGCTGTCTGAAAAAAGGTGTCTCTAAGTAATCTTGCAGTTTACTGATTCTGCTATAATGTCCTCAGACGTGGCATTATCAGTGAAGCTGCCCAACAAGCCCTCTAAAGCAAAACGATGAAGTGGGACTTTACCTATATTTAGTGCAAATTACAGTTTTAGGACGTTAACTTATGGCTATACCCTGCATAAATACGTATGGTAACATCAGGTTCCAAGTTATCACTGTAACAGCAAAAGATAGGAAACAACTATTCATCAATGATAGATTAAATAAATTATGGTATATTCATCCAATAGAATTTTATGCAGCCAAAAAAGGAAACAGATTCCTTATTCCTTACATACTGATATTAAATGGGAGGAAAAAAGGACAGAGCAAAGCCTATGTATAGTTTATCATTTGTGTAAAAAGCCCATGCACACATGGTTAGGCACAGAATCTTGTTCAATAGCATACAGTAAACTGCTGGCAGTGCCTGGCTCCAGGAAGAGGATCTAGGAGCTAGAGGTGGGAGAGGCCCTTCATTCTAAATCACTCTTGTATCTTGACTCACGGGAAAAGTGATGTAGTCAAACATTTTGTTTAATTTTTTCAAATGAACTAATTATACATTTGACAAATTACAATGATAATTTCTGAGTGCAGCAAAAAAAGTTTTCTTGTGAGAATCACTATAAAGTTATAATGTTGATACATTTCTTTTCATGTGAAAAGGCATAAAATTTCCTTTATAGACAACTTATCATTTATCCATCATGTAATGTCAAATGCACCTATAATCCCTTAAGATAAGTATGATTCTTTTGAGGAAAAAGAACCAGATCAAATGCATCATTAAGGAAAAACATGCATACTGAACTATGAAGTCTACTGAGGACAAAGGCCATTATTTTTTAATTCCCCAATTCCTGATGGAGTTCTCAGAATATAGTTTCTCAGTTGATGAGTAGCAAATTGATTTATTGGTTAAATTAGCAACTATGGAGTTATATATGTCAGTTATACTGAGAACAGTATAAAATAAATGGATAATTCACCAGAAACTGGCTTCTAGATTTTAATTTTAGTGACCTTGAAGTAACATAATGTAGTACCAAATGTTTAAACACCCATTATAATTGCTAACCTGTGAAGTCAGCATTATTTATATCTGATCAGCTATACAAAACTCATTGATTTTTCTTTTGAAAAAGGCAGTAAAAAATCCCAAAGAATAAGGGAGAAACTACTAATTAAAGGTCATGTTTACTAATCTAGCACCATAATTCCAGTTTGAGGCCCTCCCAAGCTGCTAGGAGGAAGGGAAGCGGTGAGGATATTGGGAAAGTAAGCACAGTGCTTAACTTGTGGCCCCATTTGTGCTCGAAGCAAAGGCTGAGACTGGACAGAAGACAGAAGCTTTGGTTCAGGTGTAAAGGAGGCCCTGGAGAAGAGGAGAGTCAGGATTTCCTGGAGCCAGTGCTGGAGTTGGCCTCATGGATTAGGGGGTTTCTTCTTGGCATCCATGTCCTTTTTAATTTCTTCAAGTTTTTTAGCCAGGTTTGGCATCTTTAAAGAAAAAAGACATTATTATAATTTTGCATCTAACTAATCAATATGCTTTGACTTCTCTTCCTCCAAAGATAAATGGTTGTTGTACAAGTTTTTATTTTCCTCTGAAAGTGACCTGTTAAATAGTGGTGTCTTTAACCTCCGGACTGCAATAGAAGGATTTCAGAAGTTGTCAGGTAAAGTATGCTCCCTCCCTGGAAGCCAGACCCTGACTTTGACTTTTATAGACTCACTTAGCCCCTCAATCCAGAGCCAAGTAAAAGTTGTACATACAAACAATAAATGTGATACAGTTGGATACAGCACCATGTGACTCAAATGAAGGTTGACAGAGGGAATTCCCTTTGTCACACTAAAAGCTTCACTACAAAAGTTAGTATCATGTTTCATTTCCTTGTCTCTTTAAAACAATCATTACCTTTCCAGAATCCCCATTCATAGGCAGTTTTGCCACCTGTTTTTCCACTTCCCTATCTATAAAGTGAGGCTAATACAACGCCCCATGTCACAAAACTCTGTTGAACGTGCTACATGATATAGACCCACCTCCAAAATTCTGTCATCTCTACTCCTGGGTATGGGGACTGAAAAGATTATCCTATTAATTTTTAAATTCTCACTGATCACGTGATATGCCGTAGAACTGTTAAGAAGAACCTAACCTACTATTACTCTGGGCTAACAAACACAGCTCAGCATCACCATGAGACCATCTAAAGTGATGGGATTTTGCCCTCTTGTGGTGATATAAAGGACAGATAGGCTTCTGTGACTGGAAAATCTTTCTCCAAAATTCAAGACTTTTCCCTCAGATCTATGGACCCCATCTATGCTGGAAGGCTCACCTTACTTCAACAAAGACAAGTCACTACAAGTCAGCTACATGGAATCATGGAGAAAGTGAATGGTCACTTACGTCATAATTTTGAGCCAGATACATTCCAACCAGGTTGCCAAAAGTAAATCCAACCTGAAAGAACAGAACAGGAAGAGTTACACTGGATACTGAGCTCCGTACCAGCTGATACCAAGCCAAACTATACAGACAATATTCTCCTAAGGAGCTTAGGATAGTTAGAAGACCTCAGGGTCCAGTCTAGGGCTGGACAGTGCAAAGTGTGAAATTCACATCTTGCTTCTATAAAATATACATAGAAATAGCCTCCCAAAAGGTTAAAGAGAATACACCAAAAAATAGAAGCACTGAACAAATCTACCCTAAATTCTCCTTATCCCCTCAGCACCTCCATAAACACTTGATTGTAAGTTCTAGAAACCCAAGTTAAAGTTCTGCTTTAAAAAAATTTTTTTTTGTTTTATTGATTTCAGAGAGAAGAAGGGAGAGGGAGAGATAGGAACATCAAATATGAGAGAGAATCATTGACTGGCTGCCTCCTACATGCTCCCTACTGGGGGATCAAGCCCGAAACCTGGGAATGTGTCCTGAGCAGGAATCAAACCACGACCTCCATAAGTTGATACTCAACCACTGAGCCACACCAGCCAGGCAAAGTTCTGCTTTTTGTTGGTAAAAGCTGCAATTGTTTTTCTTTTTTTGGTTATGAGTATTGTTATTCCTCACTGTTAGGTCCCAGGCAAAAGGAGCCAGGCCAAGAGTTTAAGAAATTTTATTGCAGAACAGGAAGAGTTATACTGGATACTGAGCTCAGTACCAGCTGATTCACTCACAGCTGGCTGAGACCAGTGTGTCAGTGTCAGCCCTGAGGGGGTGGTTAAGTTGTCTTACATAGGGTAAAAATATGCAATACAGGGTCAGGATGTGAGTGCAAGAGTCGGTCAAGCAGAAGGGAGGGCAGGAGTTGGTCAAGGGAGGCAAGGGAGGAGAGTGCACAGGTCAGTCAGGCAGAGGGTTAGCATTCTTATCTTGCTTCTGCAGGCCCTGGCTGTCTGCTTCAAGGTACGGGAAAAGGCTTATAACAATACTAGTGGCCCAGTGCACGAAAATTTGTGCACTCAGGTGGGGGTGGGGGTTCACTCAGCCCGGCCTGCCCCCTCTCACAGTCCAGAAGTCCAGAAGCCCTCAGGGCATGTCCTACTTCGGGAGGCGACCGGGACAATCAGGGGAAGGCGCCACTCCCATCACCCCACCTCTGCTGCTGCTGCCAGCTGCTGTAGCTGCCTGCCCTCAGCCCTCCAGCCACTGCGGCTTTGTCCAGAAGGATGTTCAGCTGTCCGGTCTAATTAGCATATTATGCTTTTATTATTATAGATATATTTCAGAAAATATATCCAAGCAGGAGAGATTAAGGGTCATTCACCCTAACACTCATGGCATCAAATAAAAAGTATTCAATTTTTAAAAAGTATTCAGTTAAATCATAGGATATTAGAAAATGAAGGAACTTTCACAGTTCAATCTCTTCATATTTCAAAAACATGAGGCCCAGCTGAGCTGGCGTGACTCAGTGGTTGAGCATCAACCTATGAACCAGGAGGTCATGGTTCAATTCCCAGTCAAGGCATATGCCTGAGTGGTGGGCTCGATCCCCAGTGTGGGGCATACAGGAGGCAGCCAATCAATAATTCTCTCTCATCACTGATGTTTCTATCCCTCTCCCTCCCTCTCTGAAATCAATAAAAATATATTTTTAAAAACTATTTAAAAACAAACAAATAAAAAACAAACAAACATGAGGCCCAGGATAGTGAAGTGACTTGTCAGGGCCATTCACAACAAAGAACATGGAACAACCTAAATTAAATACAGATGCACGCTCAAAAACTGAAATACATGATGACAGAAAAGAATGGGACATGCCCTCGCTGGTTTGGCTCACTGGATAGCGCGTCGGCCTGTGGACTGAAGAGTCCCGGGTTCGATTCCGGTCAAGGGCATGTACCTCGGTTGCAGGCACATCCCCAGTAGGGGGTGTGCAGGAGGCAGCTGATCGATGTTTCTCTCTCATCGATGTTTCTAACTCTCTATCCCTCTACCTTCCTCTCTGTAAAAAATCAATAAAATATATTAAAAAAAAAAAAAAAGAATGGGACATACCACCAAGAGAACATAGGGCTTGACACTCTGCCATGGGTGGCGTCTAATGGGCAGGCCTCTTAAGACCTGCAGGGAACACAGGTCCCCTAACCAGCTCTTACTCAGTGACAAGACAGAAAGGCACACGTTTGAGAGAATTATAAAGGTTTATCCTGTTGGGTGACTACTCTCCTGAACAAAACTGCTTCATGAAAATTTAAAGCTTTCCCTTCACACCAAAAGAGCCAACACTCATTAAGCTTCAAGTTTTAATGATGATCTCTAATTCCCTGCCTCCCTGCCAATAATTAATCATCTCCAACTGGACACCTAATTTCTAATTTCACAAATCTGAACTGGCATCTGATTGTTCCCCCATCATTTTCTTTAATCAGTGTTGTTCCTATTCAACACACAGCAGAGGTTAACTTGGAAAAACAAAGTGTGACACTTAAGGTCATCAGTGATGCATGCAGTGGTCTAACCTTGAATTCAAGCTGGATATGCATATGGGAACAGAATACAGCGGGGTTCTTACTAAATTTTAAGCTTACCAAGCTTTTAACACCAAAAGCATAATTTAAATTAGTTTGTTAGTAAATTAAGCATAAAAGAGGCTATAGTCTCTAATCATAGACTACTTTTCGATTAATCAGACACATCAAGGGGGCACTAAGAAGCAACCCACTACTATGGGTTGAAACCAGGTAGACAGAGGTTTTCCAAATCCAGAAAGAATATTAACTTTGCTTAAAAGAAGAGGGAGGGGAGTAATTAACTGAGAATGTTAACTCTGATACCAAACAAAAAGAACATAGGGCTGAAAAAAATTCCATAAAGAAATAAACTAGCCTGGCCTGTGTGGCTCAGTGGTTGAGCGTCAACCCCATGAACAAAGAGGTCACTGGATAGATTCCAGTCAGGGCATATGCCCGGGTTGCAGGCTCGATACCCAGTAGGAGGTGTGCAGGAGGCAGCCGATCAATGTTTCTCTTTCATCGATGTTTCTATCTTTCTAATCCTCTCTCTTCCTCTCTCTCTCTCTAAAACCATAAAAACAGCCCTAACTGGTTTGGCTCAGTGGATAGAGCCTTGACCTGTGGACTCAAGGGTCCTGGGTTCGATTACGGCCAAGGGTATGTACCTTGGTTGCGGGCACATACCCAGTAGGGAGTGTGCGGGAGGCAGCTGATCAATGTTTCTCTCTTATCGATGTTTCTAACTCTCTATCCCTCTCCCTTCCTCTCTGTGAAAAGTCAATAAATATATATTTAAAAAAAATAATAAAACCATAAAAACTTTAAAAAAAAAAAAAAGAAAGAAACTAGATCTGGTTCTACCATTATCTAAGTGTACCTGTAGGCAAGATACTTAACCTTTTTGGAGTTTTGCTGATCTAAATTTCCTGTTTTATAAAAACATTAAACTAACAATGTTCCTTCCAGGTCCAACATTCTAGGATTTCTGGTTATTCTTATGGTATCTCAAGATAAATATGGTATATTTAATGTGGCTTCATTTTGGCAACTTCGTCAGCATTAAGGTGCATAAAAATATAGCAGTTATTTAAAAACACAAAATAAAACAACCCTGGGCCTCTACACATGTCATATCCAGTTCCAGTTTCAGAGTACTGCCAGTATACCAATGGGATAGTATAAAATTAAATATACAACATAAGATAAATGTTGCACATTAAGAGACATGTTGAGAAACATGCAGGAATCCAAAAGGCATACACATGTTGTTCATGGGATACTCCATAGGCAAGTTTAGACCAAAAAAATATATATATATTTTTTTAATCTAAATAAATAAGAATCTGAAAAAGTAAAATCTAAATCTGAAAAATGATAAATCATTAATCTGAAAAGTTAGCCTGGAGCCAGAGTATAGAAAGTCTTCAATGAGTCAGAAATTCTCTGCAGGGCAAGAATGCTTAATATCTTCCAGGCCAAGACCTGGAAGCCTAATCAGTAGTCCATCCAGATGGCTGGATGTCATCCCCATTGTCCCCCTCCACATCATAGGCCACACCCCTAGTTTTCCCTGCAGAGAACGTAGCAAGCAAACGTGAATAATTTTTTCTTCTTCTTAAAAATCAATGAAGATCAACAGAATAGAATGGAGGGTCCAGGAATGAACCTTAACATGTACAATCAAGGAATTGTCCACAAGGGTGCTAAGACATTCAGTGGTTTCCAAAAATGATGCTGGGACAACTGGGTATCCATATGCAAAAGAATGAAGTTGGACTCTACTTCACATCATAAACAAAACTTAATTGAAAATGGGTTAAAGAAAAAAAAAGAAAATGGGTTAAAGAGCTAAATATAAGAGCTAAAACTATAAATCTCTTGGGATAAAACATAGCAGTAAATTTTCATGACTTTGGGGTAGGCAATGGTTTCCTAGATATGCCACCAAAAGCACAAGTGGCAAAATAAATTAACAAATTGTACTTCATCAAAATTAAATGTTGTGTTTCAAAGAATACCATCAAGAGAAGACAATCAACAGAATGGAATATAATATTTGTAAATCATGTCTCCGATAAGGGATTTGTATACAGAATATATAAGGAATTCTTATGACTGAATGATAAAAAGAAAAATTACCTAATTTAAAAATAGGCAATGGATTTGAATAGACCCTTCTCCAAAGAAGACATACAAATAAATGGCCAACAAAAAAATGAAAAAATGTTCAATGTTATTAGTCATTAAGAAAGTGTAAATCAAAACCATAATGAAGTGCCACAACACACCCACTAGATGACTTTCACTGAAAAGATGAAAAGTGTGGGCAAGGATGTGGAGAAAGTAGAACCTCCATACATTGCTGGTGGGAATGTAAAATGGTGCAGCCACTTTGGAAAACAGTCTGGCCATTCACACACAGTTACCAGATGATGCTGTAATTCCACTTTAGAGCATATACCCAAGAAAACTGAAACATACATCCACACAAAAACT